CTCTCTATCTATCTATCTATCTATCTATCTATCTCCCCCGCGCGTATTGAGCGCGCTTGTTTTTATTCTTTTCTTTTTAACCATCTCGACGAACCACAGATCTGATCGAAGCAGCTACTGCACTTGATCGTGTGGGGGGAGCCATAGTTGGTTAGATTGAGCTCTCTCTCTCTCTCTCTCTCTCCCTTTTTTTCCCTCCCTCCCTCCCGTGTCTTGCGCGCGGGCGTTTAAACGATCTCTCTCTCTCTCTCTCACGCGGGCGAGCGCGTGTGCTTTTTTTTTTTTTTTTTTAATAAAAAGGCCTCGATGGACCACGGATCAGATATGAAACTGAACGGAGCAGATACTACGCTTGATCGTGTAGGGGCAGGATCCAATATGAATGTGATCGAAGCAGATTTTGCACTCGATCGTGTGGGGGCGAGGGGGCTTCCCTTTTCCCAATCCCATCACTGGTATTTTCCCCTTTTCCACCTTCTATTAACAGACTTCGCAAGTGGTTCCTCGCTCCCCTAACCCCCACCTATCAGAACTGACTCACCATCCTCCCCCTTCCCCTCCAACTGCCCTCTCCAGCCTCACATCCTTGCCCTCTTAACGAATTCTTCACCCCTCCTCTTGCTGATCTTTTCCTGCCATAGTCCCTTCACCGTACCCCTCCCCTACCTCAGCCTCCGTAGTTTCTTATCTTCCGACCCTATTTTTGCCACTCCACCCTCCACCTCGGCCTTCAAACGTCTCTCTCTCTCTCTCTCTCTCTCTCTCACACACACACACACACACACACACACACACACACACAGATCCGAAAACAGGACGGAGGCTGCAAGGGCGGAGAAGAGAGTCGAGGTGTCAACTGGTCAGGGCGGCAGAGGAAGGGCGGAGGGGAGAAGGGGAGGCGCTGTAATGGAATAGGGTTGCGGAGGAGATGAGGAGGAACGGTGGAGGGGGGGAGGCTGGGAGGCTGGGTGGCTGGAGGAGTCGGGTGGCGCAGGAGCAGCGGAGGGCAAACGAAGACAGGGGAGGGGGGGGGGAAGTGGTTTGGGGAGGGAGCCATGTCACTGACCTGAGGGTTCCATCTTGCAGCAGCATTCAGTCGATGACAACTACTCCACCGCAACTCAATCCGGGCCCACCACAGCTCACGGCAGCAGCTGGCCAACCTTAGGTGAAAGGGAGACAGGGATAGTGTGTGTGTGTGTGTGTGTGTGTTGTCATGTTTGCTATACAACTCCATTAAAATAGCATGACTGTGGCAGACTGTTTCGTCAGGATTTCACCGACTCACCAGGAGGTTGAACCCCGACAGTCTGCCCAGAGTGAAAGAGAAGCAGCGAGCAAGAGAGAGAGTTTGGCGCTGCGCAGCAAGCAGGGTATACACAACACGGCCCGAGGCAGTACCCAGCACGGCAAACAACATTGACGCGTCGGCGCAAAGCTCAAGAAAATATGACGTGATGCGGTTGGAACCGACAAAGGCAAAGTGAAGTACCCAAAGTTGCCTGTGAACTGGGCCGTCGGGCCGTTCGCCCCGAGGTACTGGGCCGAGGGCCTGGATCTACGCGCACAGCACTCGACTCCGGTAATACTCCACGGCACTCCGCGCCGCGTCTAACTGCAAAACGCATTCCGCGGCGTGTCTATCTGAGCCGTCGGTACGGACCGACTGCCTGAATCTTGACGCGGTCCTAAGATTTTAAGACCACATCTATCCAGGCCGTCGGTCTGGTAGGACCCGACGGCCCAGATGGCAGATTTGTTACATGGTTAGGACAGCCCGGATTTCAGACTTGTCACGTTAGCGATTTTAACAGTGTAGGGATGATGATATATGAGCCAGCCATCACCAAGAGTGCCGATAGAAGACATGATAAAGGGAAGCCACTGGAGATGATAATGCCACAGCATATTTAGCCCCATTACCCATTCCCAGTTAGTACATCCACATGCAGACGTCGTCAATAACCACAATCCCCAGATCACAAATTTTCTATTCAGGTAGCAGACGACAGAAATTTTCAAACCTTCGCATGCAAAGAATTGGGCGCATCACTTTGAAAAGATATCTCACCTGCCAAGGAAGGTGCCCATCTTCTTGGGGTCCATGCCTGGCACACTGCACCAGCAAAAGCCACCACTGGGGCTCTCAGCACGAGGAGCAGCAAGCCTCTGATCCAAGGCCTGGCCATGAAATCATTTGAAATCACACAGCACCTCATACCACATTGTGGCGGCACATACTATGGGTGCATCCACATGCCCGCCTCAAATCACACCCCATGTGTCGGACATGCACATCAAAGCCACACTCACTGACCCGCATAGCATGCTTCACACTCATGAGCAGCATGATATTAAAGGGCCCAGAAACGTTGACCTCAAACATCACATGAACACATTTTTTAACTCACAGCTAACCTTTCTCCCTCACATACCACATCTTAGCATCCGTGCACTAGTAAAATCAGACAACCATTCTAGGAAAAGCCTCCGCATGTTAGATTCAATTCATTTTTATGGTGTGAATAATGCACAAGCATCGGTAGCAGAAATCAGCATTGAAATTATGAGGAGGTGCTTTTGCACATTTTGTGGAGGGAATTCCTCCGATCCATACTGCTGAAACTGAAGGTTACTTGACAATGGGTAAGACAGAAGTCCCGAACAGCGTCCATACATTTGTATTTGTGCCTTCATGAATTCGATTTGAACCTCTCTCTCTGAGCGTCCATCCAATTCAACCCTAATCTTGTGTTATTGGATGTATGAGATGATGAATTGAACCCTTCCTGTTATCATTTCAGATTGGATGTGCGTTCTACCGACTACGGTCGATTTCTTTTAATGTAATTATATGTGGATGTTTCAATTTTCTTTTGACGGTGTGTCCAAGAGGCTAGGATGAATTGTGGTTTCACGCTTGGTTGAGTCCGTCCTAGTCGACCGGCGTCCGCTCCGCACCTAGGAGATCAGCGCCCTAGGAACGGACGGCGTTCGGGTTCGCTTGGCGTTAACCAAGAGTATCTATACTACAGCGAACGAGCAAACGCCCTCGGCTGACCTGCCTCTGCAATTGCATCTAAAAGCTTTCGCACGTGGGTCGGTAGATCAGCAGGGATACGCCCCTAAGGGTGGTGACAGCCCCTTAGGGAAGGAAAGCTTATGCCCTGTGGGAACCTATCCTGTCCTAGGGGACCGCGCGATGTACAACTGTGGCACCCGGCTAGAGCGGCGAAGAAGCCACGCGACCACGGCCGTTTTGGCGGCACGCGGGATTATTCTACGTCGTTCCCGAGTAGTCTCCTATTTTGTTTTGTTTCAACTCCTGCGTGACATGGCCGGGAGGGCTCCCGCTTTTCACAAAAAAAAGGCAGGAGCCGATGCGCTCAACAGCGGAGAGTAGGGAAGGTGGCCACGGAGGGGAAGGAAGAAGGGTGTAAAGGGGGGAAGGGGAAGTGGGCGCTGGGCGCCGAAAGGAAGGATTGTCGACGCTGTGAGGCGCATCTGTGTGAGACGGAGTGTACCCAGCATCGAACGGGGGCGGGGGGGGGGGGGGGGGGGGGGGAAGAGACAGAGAGAGAAGCATGGTTGAGTGTAGTAGCATAGATTAGCGTCGAACGTGGAGAGTCGAAGTTCAGTAGCGTAGAGTAGCGTCGTGTAGCCATCCAGCATCGAAGTTGAGTGTACCCTTTTTTTTTTTTTTCTCCAGGTCATAAGGGCGGGGTCACCAAGTGAAGTCGTCGTCGTCGTCGTTGCTTAGACTCTCTCTCCCTCTCTCTCTCTCTCTCTCTCGTCATAGCTTAGGCAGGCGAAGAAGGTGGGAAAGGTGGGCAGGATTGGAGGGAAGGTGGGCGTGGAGGGTAGGGAAGGTGAGCGCAACGGGTAGGGAAAGTGGCCGCAGAGGGGGAGGAAGGTGGGAAAGAATTGTCAACACTGGGGCACGTTTATGTGAGATCGAGTGTAGCCAGCGTGGAAGAGAGAGAGAGAGAGAGAGAGAGAGAGAGAGAGAGAGAGAGAGAGAGAGAGAGAGAGAGAGAGAGAGAGAGAGAAAGAGACAGAAAGAGAGAGAGAGAGAGAGAGAGAGAGAGAGAGAAAGAGACAGAAAGAGAGAGAGAGAGCACGAGAGAGGGGGGGAGAGAGAGAGAGAGTGGCAAGGTTGAGTGTAGTGGCAAAGATTAGCTTCGAGCATAGAGAGTCGAGGTCCAGTGGCACAGAGAAGCGTCGTGTAGCCATCTAGCATCGTAGTCGAGTGTAGCCTTTTTTTTTTTTTTTTTTTTTT